AAATATTTGGGGGCACGGTAGTGCAACCGCCAAGTCGAGTAAAATTTTTCATTTTCGGTNATCTACTGTGCCGTTAGGTTCGCTAACCTATGAGTAACAATTCTTGGAACGAAGTGTGTTTGGATGCTTGCCCATACGGATCTCTTAGAGATTATTTATCAGCCCTTGTAGAGCGCAATGTGAAGAAAGTACTAATAATCTTGGAAAATAAAAATTTTGATACAAACCACGTTTATACAACAATAATAAAAATGTTTCAACACATGAATTCACTTTAGCTAGCAAAACTTTTACTATGACTACTATAATAAATAAACTTACTTAGTCCCGATTCGACTAAACTTTTATCCGAGAATAACTCCTGGCACATTGACAGTTTCAGTATGGGGTTTCAATAGTTTATTCTGTGATTAATATTTTACTCTTGTTTGGTCGAATTCACCCTTAACCAGATATCTTTTTCCGCATTGGCTATGTCATATATGACTTATTAATCTCAAACCAGTATGAGGCGTCAGGGCTTTAATAAGTGTGGTGACATTTCGGAAAATTCAGAAAAATCCATCCAGACGATAAAAGTGAATTTCATAACTTTTGAGCTCACTTTAGTGACATGAAATGGTACTTCTTCAAAGTATGTACAAGTATTTCAACAGATTTTGCTCACGGTAAAGTATCGAATTTATTGATATGTTACTGTAAAAGCACGAATTGCAGTAAATCCTAAGATATTCCAGTAAAACCTAAGATCTACCAATTCCTAATGGTAAATGTCCCAAAAGGTTTGCGATTCGAACTCTTACCACCATTTCGTTGGTAAATCTTAGGATTTACATTATTGGCACGGTAAATGTTGAAAAACAAAACATGTCATCTGTATTTCTTTGTTAATTCCAAATAGAGAACTAGTAATTAAGTTAGATAGATATAATAGAGATTGAGATATTCAGAGATATACGTTATTAGGGTTCCGTAGCATGGCAAAAAACGGAACCCTTTTAGATTCGTCATGTCTGTCTGTCCGTCTGTCCATCCGTATGTCACAGCCATTTTTTTCCGAAACTGTAAGAGCTATACTGTTGAAACTTGGTAGGTAGATGTATTCTGTGAACCGCATTAAGATTTTGATGCAAAAATAAAAAACAATAATAAATATTCGGGGCTCCCTATACTTAGAACTGAAACTCAAAAATTTCTTCTTCAACTTCTAAAATAAGTAAATGAAAAATCTAAAAAACACATATGATATACCTACATTACTATAAAAACTACCAACGAAAATTGTTTTGAACGAGATCTAGTAAGTAGTTTTTTTTAATACCTCGTAAATCGTAAACCGTAATCTTTCATACAAATAACTTAAATTAAAAAAATAATAATTTCATAAATCAATGGGTTCCGTACCATTGATTCATTCCGTGACTGTACCTGTGTGCCTACCATGAGTTTACGTTAGGTGAGCTCGCTAGCGAATACGTCAAAAAATTCTATGAAAATTTTATTTCTTGAAAGTAGCCGCTAGGGGCGCTGCACAATATGTAATACATTTAAATGTCATTGTTTTACGCAGTCGCTAGCGAGCACACCTAACGTAAACTCATGGTAGGTACACTGTTTTGTCTAATACTTAGTTGATTACAGTAAGTAATCAAGAATTACTCATTGTTTTATTCCTAAAACCAACATCTACCAGCTGACAGAGGTAAAACCTAGCATATACTAAATTCGAATGGTAAAAGCTCGAAAAAATCGTCGTATTTTCAGAAATACTTACATTTACCAACCCATGTCGGTAAATCCTAAGATTTACACTTAAATCTTAAGATTAACCGTAGTTCGAGCTTTTACAGTAACAGATACATCATTCCTCAGTGTGCAAGTAAACCTATGTTTAGGTACGATGTTTATATCCGTAATATACTTACTTAGCTTTGGTTTAGGAGTTAAACTCAAAGTTCGTGTAAATGTCTCTTACTCAGTAATTTTTACAAATTAAATATCTGTCTGGCTTTTGTGTTTTACGTTTTTGACATTTTAACTTTCAAAAATATGATATAGGTACCCTTGACTTTCATTAAATTACAATACCCTGTATTGGTGATTCGCCTGCTCAAATCATATCTTTTTAAAAATATTCTTGCTCAAAGTTGAGGTTACTTCCACATTATTTGACCATTTAAGAGAAAATACGAAAGGAATAAATGGGAAATAGGGAAAATAGGATCAATAGGAAACGCTTCTTTTGATAAGGAATCATGAAGAAATCTTTAAAATGTAAGAAGTTAAAACACAATGTACCAAAGTGGGCAGGTATTTTATCAATCCCATAAGAATTTTTATCTCAGCAGTTGCAAACTCACGTATTGTTTTGTTTCTTCACGTACTCCTTTTCACTAAAGATTTATTGTCCAGTTTCAATGAATAAAAATATGCAGTCGTAAAGCTGTTCGCACGTTTTTACGATCTGATAAACCAGTAAACAAACCACTAAAGAATAGTCTTCTTCGAGTGAAGAAGACTAACGAAAATAGGGGAGTCCCTATTTTCACGGATTGAAATATAAATTGTTACTAATATTTTTCGTTTTCGACTAGGTATGTCTATACCTACATACCTACGCCCCATAAACAAAGCTCAGATAATAACATGCGGTTTGAAACTAAATAACGTGAAAAATATACTTAAACCAACAAAACTTTTTAACTAGCAACAACAAAAATAAATTTCTAAGGCTGCTGGGTTGCACCATCTTACTTTAACTTTAACAAACGTCAAAAATCTGTCAAACTCCATAACAAAAACACTGGTTATCGTTATAGTTACCGTCAAAATTAGTTGCACCACCTAACTTTGACCGTAACTATAACGATAACCAGTGTTTTTTGTATGAAGTTTGACAGATTTGTGACGTTTGTCAAAGTTTAAGTAAGGTGGTGCAGTGCAACACAGCCTAAGGCTGAGTTGCACAGTTGCACCACCTTACTTAGACGGTAACTATGACGATAACCGGTGCTTTTTGTATGGACTTTGACAGATTTTTGACGTTTGTCAAAGTTAAAGTAAGATGGTGCAACTCAGCCTAAGTCTTCTTCATCAACACATTTGTTTCAGAAATACTTAAGATTGCAAGTTTCTATTATTAGCTTCACAACATATGCAAAATCTCTAGACCTAGGTCAAGAACTTGTTTTGATTGACACGTACTCGTAAACACTAGTCACCTTTTGACATCGTTTACGAGAAAACTTGATTTTGGCACACAAAAGGTAACTTTCACTTACCTACTTTGAACGAAATTAGTCATTAGCACGAGGCTAACGTGTTTTTACGGGATATGTTGTATGTCAGAATAATTGTCGTAAATCATAAAAATTTATTGCGTGAAAATTGTTTTTAGCAACATTTAATATCTGTTGTTCTCAAGCAAATAACATAAATGTTATGTTCGCAAATGATGCTTGCTTAAGTGAAGCAGCAAATCGAACGCACAGCGTTGAATAGAGCTCTGTGAATGGTTCGTGTGTTACCCTGTGTGAATACGGGCGTTATTGTCTACAGGAAACGATGATATGAGTTTAATCGGAACTTTTAATTATAATGGACGTTAATTAGAGGTGAATTCTGAAAATTACTCTTGAATCAGATTCTGAAGCCAAAAAAGGCGAATCGACGATTTCAATCAGTGGAAAATTGGGAGGCAATTGAGGAATATTAAATCTAGATTGTAAGAGGACCTACTTACTTGACAGAGAGGTCAAAATATGAAGGAAATTAAAATTTCCGGTGTAATTACGGAAAATAAACATCTGATAACTATGCAATTGTGTCAGTCGGAATCCGAAGAGTTCACTAAAGTTGACTCTATAGGTTCATTGCACCACCTTGAACTGCAATTTACACGGATATGACTGGCGAATCGAGAGTGAAGAAAAAGCTATTGACATTATTGCCGTTCCTTGTATCTTAATGGGATGTCCAACTACAATTAAAGGGAAATTACAGTCGAAAACTCGTCGAAAGGTGAAGATAAATACGTACTTTATTATGTATCGAAAATGTCACGGTTTTTTTGAGGCGGTGTTCCGTCTTTTGTGCAGCTGATTTATTGTGTCGTTTTCATTTTTTAACAATTTTGTCTGGTTCGGTTAACGTAAAGTGACGGTTTTATTGACTGATGTGATCATGTGGCACCTTCAATATTTTGAGGATCTCGTCTTGATTGGCTATTGATATAATACAATTTATTGATTGTTATATTTTTGTAAATCGTGAATGTCTTAAGTTGATCATGACACGAGTATTTTTAAATAAGGCTTTTTAGTACTAGTTTGGCTATGGTCTCTGTTATATTTTCTCATTTTGCTTCAGACATTACTGGTTTCAATTAACAAGATCGTCTGAAAAGTATCATCCTGATTTTGTGGTTTCTTACTTTAAGCGGTTTTTGATGCTATAACAGAGCCTTAGGTTCATAAAGTAAGAAACCTGGGATGTGACCTTACGCAGCCACAAAATCAGTTATGAGTATTAATGAGGTTAGTCAACTGTAAGCCGTCCACAATGAAGTAATATTACCTACTAGCCTTCCATTGATAATTTCATAAAGAACAGTCCAGTACAGTATTGTTTACCGCAACCGCTTAAAAATAAAACAACTATCCGGCCAGTGTTCTACTTAAAAATTCATGAACGAATCGGTAATAAAAAAGAAATTATTTTTACGTAGCACAACTGTTTATTACGTTTAATATTCATTACAATTTGTATTGAACAATTCCTTGCTAAAGGACCGCAGTTTACAGTAATTACAATAATGTATTCATTGTCCATGTTACTGACAGGAGCAATTGGAAATCTACTTCTCATGATTATGATATAATAAGGCGTACTTGTCATTTTGATTTGAATATTGATTACATAATTGAGAACATATTTCTTACAATTTATATCCGGCTGTGTTAGATGTAATTGTTGTATTAATGATGTTTATTTTGTTTCAGATAAATCAAGATGGATTTGGAATTTCGGAACCTTAGATATACTGTCTCCAGTCCTATCACCAAAGGTGAGTAATATTCGGAAAACAATCGTATATCGTACTGTAGGTACTCGTAAAATAATTACAAAGTATTTACAGTAAAAAAACATAGCCCGGTTCCTGAATTGAGGTTTCCAGCTTGAGAATTTTAATTTAGAAATTTAGTATTAAAAGTTCTTACTTGATTAGAACATGCTAAAGCCAAAAGTCTTAATTAAAAAACCGGGCCTATGTATGGCCATTCCACTGAATATGTATTTATCTACAACAAAACAATGATTTCTCATTCAAATTAAAATGCGTCATACATAGGAATACCTTTTTGTGAAACTTTCCGGTCTTTTGGCCGAATAATGTATTTATAAGTATCATGTTTACACGGCTATAGAATTGAGGCAATTTGCCTCCCATCAATTATAATACTTTGATTCTTTTTTACATGGATTTACATAAAAACTTCGGCTTATATACCTACGCATCACGAGCTGGTAAGAAAATCGTAGAAGGTGTGATGATAACTACTCGTACCAACACGAAAATACGAATGTAAACACCTCTACAAACATCTGCGTTTATATTTAGCGGAGTGTGGGCTAAAAATGCCAAAAATGCTACAATGCAGTTTAAAAACAGGACAATTACACAAAAATAAACCAAAAAAACGTACAGGTTCAGTTTTTTTACTCGGGTAGCTTAACTACACCGGTGTCACACGAAATGAAATGTAAATAAAATGAGCTCTTTTACTACTACCTAGAGCTCTTCTACGACAATCATTATCATCATCATCTCAGCCATAGGACGTCCACTGCTGAACATAGGCCTTCCCCAATGCTTTCCATGTTGCCCGGTTGGTAGCGGCCTGCGTCCAGCGCCTTCCTGCTACTTTATGATGTCGTCGGTCTTTGTGGACAGACAATATGAAAGGATATTCTATCCATATTATGGTTGGATCGACACATTGTCTCTCTACAAACCATTTTATCAGATCAAATATCTATGACAATATCGTTGTATTGTTGTTTTCATTTTCATGTTTAATAGAATCGAAGCCAGAACTTTCTACAGCTGTTGAGTTACGATGCCTCTACATCTCTGCATAAGTTGGAGAGGTAATTTATATGATTTTTTGTCGGCCGTTTGGTGTAGTGGTTCAGAACGGACTACTATGCCGAGAGGTCCCGGGTTCGATTCCCGGCCGGGCAGAAATTGAAAAGATGAATTTTAATTTCTGTGACGGGTCTGGGTGTTACTATGTATAATATGTATGTATTTAAAAAAAAGTATATACTTAAGTAGTATATCCGTTAAGCTAGCACCCATAACACAAGCATTAAGTTGCTTACTTTGTGGGGCTAGCTGGCGCTGTGTGAAATTGTCCAAAGATTTATTTATTATTATTTATTTATTTATTGAAATGTTAGATTGTTTTTATTGATGCTTTATTGTAATGGTGATGAGTCACACCGGATAAGCAGTAGAGTAGAAGCTGGTATAATTGCCAGGCGTTTAATAGGAAATTGATTTGTATAGTCCATGTCAAAATAACAAAAACTTTGAAGTTTCAACATTAATTAGTAAATGCAACCAATCACTTCGTGTAATTATTAAAGTAATTCGTGTAAGGATTTACAGGTTTAAATCCATTAATCTGATTGTCCATAGAATTAATGATTTCGTGCTTTCTGAACGGCACGTTTATACTACGAGTATGACATTAAGGGCCCTAGTTGTTTATACTCGCCAAGAAAGAAGAAGAATGTATTTTTGATATTGACTGTACAGTGTACACATCTATGGCATCATTCTCTCTCATCCTCAGCCGGGTTTATTATTGAGGATCACGTTCACTGTGTTTTGCGCGAGAGTGAATTCAATTAGATTTGAAATAGGCTTCAATTAATATTTTTGGTTCTTATTTCATGTTCAGGAATAGAAACGGAATCTCATTTACCCCCCTCATCAATAAAAAGTTACACCTAGGATGAACACTGGATTAAAATGTCATTTCCATACTAAATGACAACTTAAGCCAGAGTTCAACTAAGTAACTTTTATCAATAAAGAGGGTTAGCTTATAAGTTCCGGAATATTATATAAGATCGAACTCTTAATTTTTGGCTTCTCCTAGAGAGTCCTAGAGAAATCTCTAGGACCTATACCTAATAATAAATTTGTTTATTTAAAAAATTAGTTTGAGAAGCGACTCTACTCTTTTCTTATATAGGTACGCTAAGAAATTTTAATAATAATAAAATGGCTATATAGAGGTTAAACTATCACCACACAATCTAGATATGAAAGTGAAAGAGGAAAGTAGAAACGGCGACACGTCAAACCACGTCGAGCCAAGTAATCTATTATCACTTAGCGACTACGAAATGTGGACTCAACCTAATGTGTGCTAATAATGTAAACTTTGCCACATTTTCCACAAATATTGCGGTGATCAGGTTGCTTCATGATGGTAGAACGATATTTATACAAGCATGCAGAATAATCAACAAGGTGGACAAACGACCTCATAAACTCATAAAGTTAGCATAAGGCTCTGGATGCAGGCCGCTACCTACCGCGCCAATATGGAAATCATTGGGGGAGGCCTATATTCAGCAGTGGACGCGTCCGGACGTCCTATCTGCTATGACTGAAATTATAATGATGTTTTTCCGAAGGGACTAAGTACATAAAGTAACTAAATTAGATGTTGAAGAATTTTATTCTTCAACGTCTAAAGGTTTAGCTGTTAACATTTACATAGAACTTATAATAGTCAGTCCAAAATGACATATTATCGGACTTGCAGTACAAGTTACAACCGAAACCTAACAAAGGCATTGGCCTTGATTACAACACTCACTCAGTCGCTTCCATTTACTACCACGCACTTTACAAAACAAACAGCTCTATTCTGTTTGCACTTAGGCACATATTACCATGCACATTCCTTGTGGTTATTTCGAAAATTGATCATGGCACTGATAAAGAAATACTGTTAGAAGCAAAGCAATAAAATAGCTACTGGTAACGAAATTACTATTGCAATTGCAACGCTTCTTTATTACAAGGGCGTATTTGGGTACCTATATCAGGAGAGGAGTTTTGAAAATCCAAAGTAAATGTCTGAGGAATAGGCTTATGCATTAAATTCTTTGCAGTGAGAAACTCTATTCGAGAAATGAAAAAAGATATTAGGTACGAAAATTCTGGGACCCCATAAAATTAGACTTGCAAACTCAAAAAAATTAAATATTTAGAACTAGCGGCCGCCCGCGACTTCGTACGCGTGGATCCCGTTTTACCCCCTTTATCTATCTTACGCGGTTTAGATTTTTTCATACAAATGTTTTTTCCCGCTAACTCCCGTTCCCGTGGGAATTTTGCAATATGTAACTAAGCTTTAAGTTTACTAAGGTACCTGCATGCCTTTCAAGCGTCTAACTTAAGCGGTTTAGATTTTTCATACAAAAGGATTATCCCGCTAATTCCCGTTCCCGTGGGAATTCCTGCCTACCTGCCCAGGAGTATGAAAAATAATTGTACCAAGTTTCGTTAAAATCCGTCGAGTAGTTTTTGTTTCTATAAGGAACATCCAGACAGACAGACAAAAATTTTACTGATTGCATTTTTGGCATCAGTATCGATCACTAATCACCCCCTGATAGTTATTTTGAAAATATTTCATGTACAGAAGTGACCTCTCTACAGATTTATATTATACAGATAAATGATTAGTTAGTTATTATGGGTATTTTTTTTTCACAAAATATTTATCTCATTATTGGAGCAAAAACCTAAACAAATGCTATGAAGTCCAGAAGTGGAATGACTGTTCAATTTAGTTTAGACTTTAGAGTCGGTTGTCGTGAGTGCTCGCGACCACAAACACCATGAGCATTCAGTGACCCAAATACTTCTATTATCACGACTTGGTGTTAGAAACGTTGCTTTGTTAGTTATTTGGTTGACGTTGACAAAATACATTTTGTAAGACCCGATTAATATTTCTTCCTTCAAATCTTTTATTTCAATCGAAAAGGAGAGAATTCGTTACCATTCGTAAGATGTAGAATGCTAAACAATCTGCGAAGACATTATACGAGTAAGTAGAACACAATTTTACATGGTTAAGGACAACAACACAAACTTGTTTATTGATTAAATATGTGTAAAAACTAAATTTTCCGAGATAAATGGGTCATTACCCTTTTTTGCGTAAGTTATGCGATTCTTTTTGCATTAAAAGCTTTTTGCTTATGGTTGAATAAGAGATTGACTACCTACTCGTTGCTTCGATACTCTGAGCTACTCCCTAACGACGATTCTGTATTTTCGACTCTATGAGTATCTTTAGGTGTCACTTACCTCAACATTTCGATGAAAGTGAGAGGGGATAGATCCGAAAATACTCTCCCTAATATTCTTAACTTAATATAATGGAGCTAATTGTTATAGAAACTTTACCAAAAACTAATTTTATTTACCCTGAAACTGGGCTCTGAAAGCCTCAGCTGTATATCTTTTGGTTTCACAAGATTTGAATAGAGATATCTGGAAGTTAAAGCAATCTTTTCAGATAGGTTATAAATATTATAAGATATAGCTCTATTTTTGCTCTTAATTAATATAGTTTTAAAGTAGGTATTTATTACCAGAAGAGTTTAACATCTCAACAACCGGTTTTACTGTTATTTGCTTAGAATATGGGTAAGTCGGCTACATTAGTGAGATTATGCGGAAGCTGTCACAAAGTAATTTATTCCAAAATGTCTCAGTCGACAAACATAGTGTTACAAAAACCACGTTATTAGTCCTGGGAGTCCATTAGGGGCACTGCCTACATGATGTCATTGTATGCAATACTGTAAATTACCAGGTCAATAAAAGGATTACAGATTTCTAGATTACAACTGGTTCTAACATATATCTACCTACTTTAATTTTTTACTTTGCCTTTCTATTTTGTTTAAACCCCCTTTTTTCTTTAAAGTCTTTATTTCTAAAACCTGATCTATGTCTGCATTTAG